GTAAAAGCAGTCGAAATGCTTTGAAACGGTTTTGCTAGTACTTTCCCAATTGACACAAAGTACTGGTCCATAATCTTGGCGATGGAGAGATTTTCAGTGTGCCATTTCCCGTTTTCAAAGATTGAAGAAACAGTCGACTTTTTCGTACCGGGGAGTACCTGTTTTATTGCAGGCCACATTTCACAAGAATCACCCTTGGCGTCTTCAATCATCTGACAAAAATATTTCGACTTGAGATTGTTTTCTTCGTGATTGGTATAATTCCGCAGTTTTCTGTACATTCCCCAGTCGTTTGAACATGTGCGGCGGTTGCCTAGAAACTGATCCTTTTCCAGGCCGCCTTGAACTATTGTGGGCGCAGTTTTGGTCATTTGTGTACATGAAAAACAAAGGCGTGTGCACCAAAACCGGTTTGACTGGAGGCAAAACCGGCTTGACTAGCCCGGAGTTTTGAGCTTTCGGCATTTCAAAGCACTGCAACAGGATGTCGACAGAGCCTTTTCCCTTGGAGGGTTAAAAAGAAGAAAAGAAGAAAAGAAGAAGAAAAGGCTCTGCTCGTAGGGTACACACCAATCACAGTGCTTGGTGGAGCGAAAACCAATTCGATCTTGGAAAACAATCGTCACAATTGAAAACTGCCTTGTTTCTCGCCCAACTCCTCCTAAACATAGACTCTAAACGAAAGATTACCTTTCCTCCTTGATCAGCTTTGCTGAGAATCAAGTCCGTCACAATCTCAGTCTTGACAGCTCCTGGCCATAGAGAGACACACGCCACATTCTGTTTGCGTAGTTCCACAGCCATATCCGCAGCCATTCTGTCCGTCTGGGTAAAATAAGAATAGTTATGTCAAGACGGTTTAGAACATTTTTAGTCTGTTTATCACACGTGGAAGGTACATACTTGGGCAATAATGACGGATGTTTCCTGCAAAATTGCTGAAACCGGCAGAAACTACTGAAATAAATTTTAATGTACGATACATAACGTACAATGAAAAAGCACACTCTTGCCTTCGATCGAATCGACTTTATCGATCGAAACAACCTTCGATCGAACTGACTTGTCATTCACCTCGCAAATTGAAAAATTCAGTGTTCCTTTATTTTACAATAAACCAAGTTGATAACTACCCGTGTTTTATTCCTTATAATGTTCAAGAGTTGAGGAATTACTCCTGACCAGCAATCGTGTAACTATTTTCCGTCCTGGGAACTCAGTTTGTGGGGACGAGTA